CGCAGAGCTTTCGCAATGAACTTGTCCAAAGGGCCCTGCATCGCCTCGTCGTTCAGCATGTCTGTCCTGATTAGGAACATGTAGATTCTCCTCCGGTCTATTGGAGCTCCATACCGTTTCCTTGGAAGCCGGGTTGTCGAGGGTTCTTTTCCCAATTTCAATTGGGTGACATGTTCAAAGTGATTTTGGACAAGTGACGGATTCATGGTCACCCCTGCAACCTGGTACCTGGGATTTGGATATTCTCAAGCCACCAACTTGTCATTAGTTGAGCTAGTGGAATGAGCAGCCTATAAATCAGCCTAGGCACTCCGGGCAGTTGCGGTGAATGATAGCGACGATCTTCTCATAGAATCTCTGGAAGCCCATGACATTCTCCAGCAACCCGATCTGAGAAGTTTTGCAACCAAACATGGTACAGTAGAAAGATATGGACTTGACTCAAAATACAATGCTGTCAAAGGTTCCACCGGCTTGATGCGCTTCAAATTTGTGATGACCTTGAACAGCTGCTTGCAATTATCATCTTTGAGGAGTTTGCTGGCGTAGTGGAGGGTACTGTAAGGGGTGCATGGAAACCCTGCTGTGTAGACCAGCACCTGCCAGCAAAATGTCCATATTCTAGCAAGTGTGAGTTGGCAAAGAGGCACACAAACATTGAAGAAGCAAACAAAATAAACACCTTGTTCTCCATCCACCGGACTGGTTTTCCAAAGATGTTACTGGACAGCCTGAGCAAGCAGCACAGGCCAATGGGTGCGTGTGTTGTTTCCAGCAAGTGCATACCAAAAGGCTGTTTACATTCGAAGTTCTTCTTCAAGAACTTCCTGGGGGCATTCTTGATCTCACTTGCCGACCTGGGCAAGTTGGAAGCTTTAGGAAGCAAGCTAGGTGCCAACAAAACAGCTAGGCCCATGACAGGTACTGCAAAGATCCTTCTTTGCCAGCTGCCTCCAGCAACATCTTCACAGCCATGAGTGGTGTGTCACATCCACTGCCTTGGGAAGGTCTGAATAGCAACCAAGTGCGCAACGATGCAGATCCAAGGCACAACAATGCACAACAAACGCAGGGCACCAGAATAACAACCAAGGGACAGTCTGAGGCAAAGGTGAAGGGCCCGTCAAAGCTCCTAAACCACCACTCCAAGCCGGCCTTCTGAAGGAACAAGTTTCCAATCTCCACATAGGACCTTTGTTCCTGGGTCAGCTCTTCCTCAGAGCTTTCAGAGGTCTCTGACTCTGATTCCGACCATCTTTTCATGGCGGCAGCAAATGTTGAACTTGACATAGGTATTGAACTGAAAGTTTGCAAAATCTTTCATGCTCTCATGTGTTGCTCTCATGTATGTTCTCAATTTAATTGTTGCTCTCATGTATGTTCTCAATCTCATGTTTGAGCACTCCATTGCCACACACTCCCCAAAGACCTGGTTTGTCAGTGGAAAAGACCCAGTTGCAACTGGAAAAGATTAAAGTACAACACCTGCCACGAAATATCACAAAATCTGCGCTTTGGGGTCCACAAGTGCTGCGTGCGGCACGAATCTGCACTTCAAGGTCCACATCGTGCCTGTTGCGAAATCCGCGCCTGCCACAAATTCCGCACCTGCCACGAAAGCTGCACTTCACACAAAGGGCTGCGCCTGCCACGACATCTGTGCATCGAATCAAGATTCACATCGTGCCCTGCTTGCAAAGCGTTTCGCAGCAAGAGCGCTTGCAAAACAACAAGATTCAAGCTGCCAAAACGCAGTTGTCGCGAGCATTCCGCCAATTGAAACCGAGCCGTGTCCAAAGGTCACAGTTCACACCTGCCACGAAATCAGAGAGCGCCGACAATGACCAAAGCGCTGCGCCTGAAACGAAATCGGCATTTGTCCGCACGACCGAAGCGAAGACACACCAAGACCGAACCGATACCGAACCGAAGCATTTATGCGGCAACCGCACCGCAACCGAACCAAACTATTCAACCAGAGAAACAGAGGTTTGCCCAGAGAAACCGCTCAACTGATCAAAGGTTACCTTCTGAGTTCTCTACTCAACCCCCTACATGATAGGCAAACCTCCGCTTTCAATTCTTTGGTAATCACTTTTTTCAAAACGGGCCTTTGTTGGCGGAGCATAGCCAGTTTACCAAAGGGTTCGACCAGGACGGCGAACATGGTTGGGGTAAAGGGCTGGGAAACCATGTGGCCAACGGGGGCTGGGGAAGTGGACAAACGCCGCCCGACAGACCCGACGACCCCAAAGCAAGCAGAACGAGCATTTAGCAATTTGGAAGACACCGCCCCAAAGCCCGCGAGCGAGGAGCACGTTTGGAAAAAGCGTTTCCTGGCCCTGGCAAATTTGTTGCACGCTTTGGGGCGGCGCGGCAATTGTTTTGGCACAAGCCGCCTAATAAGAAGCAACTTTAAAACCATCGAATGGCTGCCACTCAGCTTCCACTCAGTCCTTTTCTGGCTGACCACGGCCACTCCATGAGGCTAGAGTGTGCTCTCAAAGATATGAGGTTCCACTGAGTCAAAGTGGTCACTTCCTTGTCAATCAGCTCACTGCAAACTGGTGATAAATGCTTGTGAGGATTGTGCCTTCACGACAAACTACTAATGATAATGTGCTGGCTCCAAGAGTCATGGCAGGGCACACACCAATTTGAGACAAGTCCTCACAGCACACTTGCAAAACAACATGTATACGGCCACTGTGAGCCTTCAATGTGTTGTCCTTGACTCATGTGTTGGAAGCCGTGGGCCAATCTCTCTGCCTGATTTGCTAGAAAGCACCACCCAAACAGGACGCCAGGGAAGAGAGATCCGCAACAAACGTCAAGCTTGGTTCTGGTTCAAGCTAAGTATTTCAAGGAAAACATACAGTAGTAGAAAAGAAACAAATAAGAAAAACAAAGCCCAGGAGTGTGCCATCGAAAGGCATCCAAGCTGCTACGTGCAATCCCGGAACAGCAAGGCAAGCATCCTCAGCTTGCTACGCTCCACTCAAGAATCAGCACCAAGACCATCGAAGCAGAAATGACCTTTTCAGGTTCCCATGGTGTCTTCATGTTTCTGCCATTCAAAATGCTGAATTATGCTGAATTGAGACTTGTTGCTGAGATGGGTGAGTTCAAATCACATTCAATGCGCATCAATGTTGAATTTGCCTCGGTGGTACAGGCTCGGCAAACGACATATAAGACGACATGTATTTTGACATGCATGCTGCATGCATGTGTAATTATATGAGTTGAACAAGGTCTAGAATCCAGAAGGACTCGTCTGTTTCAAACATCCCAAGCGAGATGAATCAAACCTGGATGCGATGGAGCATGTGTGCAACTAGGACAGTTGCAGTCCCCCTGCAAAATACCGAAGATGAGTCTGATCCGGAAGTGCTAGAGATGCTTCATCCTGGAAGCCGCATTGGTTGAAAACTTCAGCTTTCAGGCAAGGCCGCCATGGGTCACAGGGCCAACTTGCGATATGGGTGGAGCTCTTTAATTACTTCGCTGAACTCAGTAATTAGAACTGCAATGGTCGATGACTCTCAGCGATCGTTTTGATGGTCGTTTTGGCGAGTCGTGGCTAGTTGTTTGAGCCCAACGACCCTGCCTGAAATAGGTACCAATTTGACCGCAGAACGAACGAGAATGCTGGGCATCACTCAAGTTGGTTCTACCTCGTTGTTGCAGTAGATCGTTGAACTCGGCACTAATACGTGAGACTCTTGAAGAGTTGCATCGTTGTCCCATCTGGATGTGTTAAAAACCGTAGAAGCCTGGTCAAAAACGCATGAGAATCGATGACGTTGAACCTCGGGACAATGTTCACTCCTATCGACTTTATGGACAGCACGAAAGTGGGACGGGCCATTAGGGGGCCTCGCAGGTGATAGCAACTTTCGGAGCTCTTGCAAAGACACAGTGAGAGACCAAAAACAAAGTGGGTTCCAAAGTTAATCTGTTTAATATGAGGATTGGAGATGATTGGAGAACTGCTCAAATGAGATGACTTCTGACATCCGTTCGACCGTTCACCTTGGTGTCGAACTGCTCCACATCCACGGAACTCGGCGCTGTGAACAACGCTGACGCACCGAGGGCCGCTTTTTCCCGAGAGCCTCTATCAATCTCAGGCATCCTGCAGCAAAGAGAGAAGAGAGAACATCCAAAGACTGACTTTTCAACCGCTTTCCTATGTGATGGTCATGTTTTGGATCGATCCGTGATCGAAGTGCCCTGAAGTCTATCTCTCTATCCGTCTCTATCTCCTCTCATACACTTGGCCCAGGAGCTTAACACACCTTTTTCCGCTTTGTTTGCAGCTTTCACCCTGGTTTGGGCCTCTCAAAGTGAAAGTCTGTCCAGGCGAGGATCTTGGAGTTTCATGTTCTCACCTCCAATCTCCTCGAATCCTTCCATTTTTCGGGGCTTCAGCCGTTACAGTGTACAGGGGAAGCTTCCCATCCTTCTTCGAAACAGGCCGGAATTGAGGACATCGCTCCCAAATGATACCAATAGAGAGACGAAGGGCTGTGCTCCGCAGTGTTTGCAAGCACGATTTCTACTAAGTGTGCTGTCTTAGCAACTACTCCCAACCTCCCCTTCTCGGTTTTGAACAGGGATGTTCACCCAGGGTGGGAGTGCCCAAATGTCGCTTTGCAAAATAAGTTTTGAAGACGTCAGCGTTTCTGCTATAGTCATAGCACCCAGAACCAATCTCTGCTCCAGGGTGAACCAACCTGACATGGAGGAAAATTAAACACCTGTTGTCCCTAGGAACACTAATATAGGAACCGTTGCTACTAGGAGCAAGGACGCTACGAACGCAGCTCCTGGCCGTACTACTAGTAGCAAATAGTTGCTAGGAAAAAGAAACTGCTAGGAACAAGGGCATCGCTACTGGGAGCAAGGGCATCGCTACTAGTAGCTCCCGGCCTTACTACTAGGAGCATTCTTACTACCAGTAACAAGAAACTATACTAAGAAGTTTGTTGATGTTTGTTGAGCCCCGCAGCTGGAAAGCGATTCCCCATTTGGATGGGTGGTCATGTTGACCACCCTTGCAAAATGGTCGGTTCCAAGAGCATCCACAAAGAAAAACGCTCCAAAAGCGGCCAGCACTTCAAGCAACCCTGTCTGCGATAGATTAAAACTTCCATTGGCTCATTGGCCACACTATTCAGAGTTCTTGCCAATCTTGGTCGCTTCAGGACCCGGAAAGTTCTTCCTTGGTGTCGTTCTCGAAAGACCGGTGTTTGGGGATCTCTTGAGTAGTAGTTCATGATGTCTTCCCCAACAAGGTGGCAGTTGGCTGTGGAGCAGCCCATGCAATTTGTTTGCCTAGTATTTAAGACATCCTTCGGGTGCCACACAAGTGCCAAGCATGCCATGTCCAAGCAACGTCCAAACGCCGTAGACGTTGGCGAAGCACGGGCACATGCACGGGCAAGGACAGCTAGGTCCAATGCAACATCCAGAATAGGCGGCTGTGCGGAACTGGGGGGGCAAGATCATCACTTGCGTTGGAGAATTGTAGGTCATGTTCAACCTGGGCCGGGAGCCGCCCAAAAAGAATATGTTTAATGCGGACATTCCGTCTAGCCCGCCTCAAAGCGGTTTACACTAGCGGTATGAGCATTTGTCTGGATCGTTGTGGGCTGGGTGAAGACCCAAGGGACCTCAACAAAAAGATCCAAACAATTTAAATTGAGACCCACCACAAATCTGTCAAACCTTTTTTATACACCGCCATCAAATTACCCCTCCTCAAATCATCTCAAATCTCCGTTTAGTGGGTTGGAGGCAACCGCTCTTGGGTTGGAGGCATGTTAGTAGGTTGGAGGCCATCGCTAGTAAGTTGGAGGCCAACGCTAGTAGGTTGGAGGCCATCGCTGTTAGGTTGGAGGCCATCGCTCTTAGATTGGAGGCCATCGATAGTATATAGGTTGGTGGCCATCGCTAGTAGGTTGGAGGCCATCACTAGTAAGTTGGAGGTCAACGCTAGTGGATTGGAGGCCATCGCGCTGTTAGGTTGGAGGACATCCCCAGTAGGTTGGAGCCCATCGCTATTAGGTTGGAGGCCATCGTTCGTACGTTGAAGGCCATCGCTAGTAGGTTGGAGACCATCGCTCTTAGGTCGGAGGCCATTGCGCCTTACCTTCTTAGTTTCTCAATGTTGTTTTGCTAGTCCGATCGCCCAGTTAGATGTCTACCGCGGAGACCTACGTCTAGACGTCTACCGGTGCCAAGCAACAAACGGTCCTTCTTCGAGATGCACAATGGCCAGCAAGGGCACCATGGAGTGAAGCAGTTCTGGTGAGGCATGGGAGACCTGAAAACGTACGTCGGTCGCTTCATATCCAGCAACTCTGAGTTTGGTGGTGCAATCTACCCAAGGTCAAATCTACCTTTGACGCGGGTAAGAACACGGGAAATGCCATTTCTAGGTCTTCACAAATTGACAGGAACGTGGGATGGATTGGGCGGCTTGGGCAGGACATATCTCGAGCTACAAGTAGAGCTATCTGACCACCCCGTTGTGTGAAATTCTTGCACACGCAGATTGCATGGACCTGGGGTCCCATTGAATGCCCAGGGTGCGTGAATTCTCATGAGCTTCACGCACGCATGCATGGTGTTCTAATGTTCTGCTCTGTTGACTCTTGTATTCGATTTCTTCTGCCAATGCAGTCCCTGGAATAATCATGGAAAGTGGATTCATGCGTGTTTGTAGAGGTTCATGGTCATCTTTGGCCATGCCATCCACGTCGTAACCATGATTATTTCATGGAGCTCGCTCTAGTGTACTTTCTTCAAATCTTGGCCAACCTGCAAATCCCTTTCTCACTGAACTCTGCGACCGGAAAAAGAACAGCAGATTGCTAACCCTCCCCTTTCATGAGAGGTTGTCCTTCTGGCCAAACGGACACGCGAAAAAGGACGCTGTCCGACACATGAGAATGGGGGCAGTTGATGCTTTCTCACAACCAACATAACCCAACCACAAACCAGCTACTAACCTACCCGACGCCCCGACCTGCCCAAGCCACTCTATGCGCGTCTTCATGTCGTCCCATGCAGCCGTCCGGTTGCCATCGGGTCCGATCACACGCCTCCACCGATACATGTACCTGGGACCAGTCACTATACCTTTCAAGCAAAAATACATCTTCTGGTTCCTAGTAGTAATGGCCTCAAACCTAATAGCGACAGCCTCCACCTAGTAGCTTCCGGAGCTTCTAGCTACTAGTAGCTTCTTGTTCCTAAGCAAATAGGAGCCTGGCAGCCTCACCTCTGGGTGACCTTGATGGAAAAAAAGGAAAACATCGACACACAGACCAGTTCAAAGGTCCATTTGATTGCTGTCCATCTTATCAATTGAGCGGTGTCAAACACCGGTCTACGATCTCTTATACTCATGACTCATGACTTGCTTCCGCCAATGCTTGCGCGGCGCTTCCGCGACCCGCATTTTGGCTTCCGCGGGCCATGTTTGGTTGAAATCCTCTTCCACAGCTCATAGGTTACAGTAGATAGATCTCCTTCTTAGGCATCTACTATTGTCAAGAAGATAAAATATGCACTTCCGCGCGGCTTCAGCAGTGGTGAATTCTAATATACTGACGCGGTGGCTTCCGCAAGCTTCCACGATTGCAGTTTTGGCTTCCGCGGGCAAGTTGCAGTTTATAAGTTTATTTAAACTGTTCATGAGAGGTTTTGGACGCTGCTCAATTTTATGCTATCCTTCTTTCAACAAGAGCAGTTTCTTTTACCGTTGTGTTTTTCTTCCAGTCAATGAGATGTCTTGGAGATGGTCGTCCTCTCTTGCGACCCAAGCGACGTGATCTCATTAGCGTTGGGCTCTCCCGGCTTGGCCTTAAAACCTGCCAACATTGCCAACAGCTGCAGGCGGTTCGGAAGAGAACGCCCTATGGCTAAGATGCTGTTCTAAGATTTACATAAGGTCTTTAAGCCGGTTTCTGGTCAGCGAGCCTTCTGCCGACCCAGCAACAGCCGATCCGGCAACATCTGGCACCATGCCTTTCTTAGTAACAGGTACACCTGTCCTATCCTGATTATTCCTAAGCGTTCTATGCCACAAGTATCAGTGTGGACACTTTGCATGCACTCCTGCCGGCATTAGTATATACAGTTCAAGCCATGAATCCTGTTTCACGCATGCCGTGTGAGGCATGAGGAGTTTGCTGCCTGGTGAGTCTCTTTGACAACCCCATCCCGTCACGACGACAATCAAACGACGTAGAAAAAGGTCAAAGCCGATGGAAAGCAGTGGTCCGCAACGAAACGGTCAAACGATGTTAAGGTCCAACGATGTGTATAAAACGACGGTAAAACGGGTGAGAAGTCGACCTCTTGAAAACGGGACAGTGAAATGGCACGGAACCACGATGGACCACGAACACAAGCTGCATGGTTCGCCCCCTATACAACCATCAGGCTCCTGTCTAACCGCTAACCACGCGCTTCTTGGCCAGTCAATGCTCAGGACTCAGGGAATCTACAACGTTCCAGTCCCGTCAAAAACAACGGCAAATTGAACATCTGATGACCTGTGCTCTCCTGCCCAAACACTTGATAACACTTGCTTGCATTCCTTGGCGTGGATGGCATTCCAGATATCGAATTCCAACCCCCAAATGACAGAAGCAACTGGGTCTGCCTTGCAGTTACACCCCAGAAACCCGGTTCCTTCCAACCCCTCGCTCAATCGAATGACTTGGCTTTTGCCACTCGTTCTCATTGATCTTAAAAACCCATTCCTCGGGATCAGAAACCAAGCTGAATCATCGAAATCAAACATCAACATCATAAAACTTGTAATGCATGAAATGGATGAAATGTGTGTGTAGGTCAAAAGGCTGAAGCCTCCATGAAACAAAAACAAGTGTGTTCCAGACTTGGCCTTTAGATTGCCTTATATAAGCCACTTATGCACTACGATGATATATATATATATATATCATGCCATCATATTCCAGAATATCCATGTCCACGAGTCCAAGTCGTTCAAGGTCCCCTTGCCCTTTGGGAAGTTCCACGTGATGGAGACCTTGGTCTGCCATTCCTTGGTTCGACAAAACAACGAAAAGGCCATACTGAGCAAAGAAACAACAGGCTTGTTGGTTTGGAGCCAATGAGTTAAAAGTTAAACTTTTTGGAGGGACCCAGCTGCTCAGCTCTCAAACAAGGCATTTAACTACTAGTAGTATTGCCCTTGTTACTACTAGTGATGCCTTCCTCCGGATGATGCCGGTGTGTCTTTAACCAGAAATGGCCAGCGGCCAGAATGTCCATTGAAGGGTCACTGGATAAGTGCATCACTCATCTTGGGCTTCGCTTTTGTATCTGTTGGGTGGCTCCGAGTTGGGCAATCCAAATCGACGGATGATATGGCCAAGACGTGAGGAATCTGTGTGGACTTTCGTGGGACTGGGAGGGAAGGGATCTCCATCCACCACAGTAATGTACCTTCGACTTCGACTGTGCTTCCCATCATACTTGTAGTCAAGAGGGAACAACAGTCGTTCCTGGTTCCAAACAAAGATAAGCCCCTGCTTGCATGAAAACGAGAAGGGTGAATGTCCTAACAATTCTTACAAAGAGGAAGTTTGCATTCCTGAACAAGGACATTAATTACAATGTTCATCAATTTTTTCCGAATCTCGCATGCCTCTCCCTCCTCTCCTTCCTCTCTTCCAGTCTCGGCTTGCCAAGTGTCATTCCACCAGTTGGAGCTGCAACAGCTACAACAGCCGCTCCAAGCATTGCCGGCTCCAAGGCATATACCGAAGCCCGAATAGTCTCGGAGCCAGCTTTGAGGAACATCTTTTTCAAAGTACCAAATCCCGTCGCCCTGGTCCTACTGTCTGCGATCGTCTGCGAGACCATGTGCAGGAATGGGCGTGATGCGCCGATGCGACATTCGCGACAATCACAACGACCGATGATCTTTGCTTGCAGCAGAACTTGTCCATCTACGCTTCGTGGAGAGCCTTCTTTTCATTTATTTTCAGAGGCTCTTGTTGGAGGCCATCGCCGTCGCTACTAGGTTGGAGGCCACCGCTCTTAGGTTCCTTTTGCGGTTCGCTATCTCTTAACTCATCAAGTTCCACCTCTGAGAGCTGGAATTCTGTGTGTGTATGTGCGTCCTCCCAGAAGCTGTCGGTGAAAATGACCAAGGACTCTGCTGCGATGTTGTCTTCCAGCCACCAAACACCCTTGAACTCCTCAGAAATATCTGTGGTTTGTGGGTGAATCTTGAGTTTGAAAAAAGATGGAACCAGTGTGGAAACAGTGTGCAGTGGGGGAAAAAAGGAAACAGGGGTGTGCTGGTGATTTTTTCACCGTGTCTTTTAGGGTTCAAAAAAGGGCGGGTGTCTTTGAGTGGGAGGAAGAAGTCGTGAAGCACAGCAAGTCGCGTCGAGTGATAGCCTGGCCATTGTCATTGTCCGTAGGAGTGAGCATCCATGAAGCCCCGCTCTCTTGCGAGCTACTATGTATTGATTTTTGACCCACTGCTCCATCATCGAACAGGCCAGCTCCTAGTAGTTTGTCCATAGGAACGAGAAATAGGGCTGTGGGCAGGATCATTTGCCTCCTGCGGCATCAATGACATGGGTATCAAAATTTATCAACCACCAATGGATGTGTGTTGCAAGTTACACGACTTGGCTTTGAGTTTGCACCGGTCATACTCCTGGCCCCTAGCAGTCATGACGGATAACTTACTTACAACGGCTCACTGGGGGTATGCATGTCTTGGTACTTGTTGGAGAGACTGTGTCTTTAAGGCTTGTCGCTTGTCCATTAAAAGGTACAGCGCCCAAATCAGCGAGTTCATTCCACCAGTGTTCGGTCCGGAGACAAGGCGACATGGTCAGTGGAGATTTCCGGAGTTCGACTCGTTTGACCTTCTCAAATCCTGACTTTCCCTCCATTCTCCATGTCCAAAATGACATGCCATTCGATGAGATAAATTCAGAAGTGGACCAGAATTAAGGACTTGGAGCCTCGATCTGCACATTTTCCGCCGGCGGGGCTTTTTTGGTGTTACACCCGAAGGAAAAAAAAGCATGATCGCCAAGGTGCTTCTGGACATTTCGTGGGCATCTGCATGGTCTTCTTGTAAATCTGGCGGATCGTGCGTGCTTCACCACGTTTAGTTTGGGGCTGCCCCAAGTGTTCACCTGGTTTTCACAATGCTTCGATGAAGTAGTCAAACCTGATGAAATCAGAAATCAGACCTGTGAGAAAAGCTGGAGGACCTTGGAGCACAAATCTTCACCGAAACAGTGCAACAGATCCGACGAGATCCTGCATTCAAGAGAGAAAGGGCAAGGCCACCATTCCATTCATCGATCCAGAGACCAAACCAAATATCTTGCATTGATGGTCATCTGTTGAAAGAATCCATCTTTTTCATCTCTTACACTGAAATTGGCATTGAAAAGTTGAAAAGTCTGATGCTGTGTCTTCGTGGGGTCATGGTGGGATTCCTTTAGCAAACACATCACATCAGGCGAAACAGAAGAGCTTAGTAGTTGTCGTGCTTCATAAGTCTTGACCAAAAACCAAGTGCTGGGCCTTCGCGACTGAAACATGTGGGCATGTATTGAAATAGAGAAAGACCCCCGGTCTGACCTGCTGGAAGAAGGAAAATAGACCGGTCTAGTCAGTCTACCCATAAATTACGCACAGAAAACGTCCCGAGAAGACGTCTTCGCCTTGCGACTCGCCTCATTCGTGTGCCCGAACCCTGCCTCAGGGTCTAAGGGATCTACCTTCTGCACGAGGCATGGGTTGCATCGACCACCACAACATTGGAAGCCTCGGACGTTCGCCGAGAGAAATGGCGGGACCGGAGGAATTCGGAGTGAGGAACATTATTCCTATAGTAGCTTCTTGCTCCTAGTAGTAACAGGTGCCACGCTAGTAGTAACAAGTGCCTTACTAGTAGTAACAATGTTCGCTAGTAGAAACAATAAGCTAATAGCTTCTTGCTCCTAGTAGTAAGGCCAGGAGCCCCTAGTAGCTTCTTGTTACTAGTAGCGATGCCAGGAGCCCCTAGTAGCGTCCTTGCTCCTAGTAGCGATGCCCTTTGTTCCTAGACCCCTCTTTGGGAGAAGTCAATAATCGCGACAATCATCCATCCAAGTTTATGGTGCTGCGGAGAGCTTCCCAACAGCAAAAGCACCGTAACCTTTGTCACACCACCGAAACAGCAAAGGCAAGTTGGCGTGCCACCTTTGGCACCCAAAACATCAAAAGCAAAAAAAACGTTTGCTGTCCACCAGAGTTCACATCTTACATAGACCGATTTGAAGAAAATCAATTTACCAAAAACATTCAATCACAGCCGTCATTAATAACCGAATCTTTTACTAAGTTCATGAAGAATACGGTCGCAATGTCTTTCCTATGAATTGAACCCTTCGGCAACAAACAAGGCATGAGTCTACCATGCACATACTTATTTGAGACTGGCAAGGCCTTCAGGCAACCGAGCAACATGGGAAGCAACAGCAGCATGAAATCGATCGCCTCGCCAGGCGTGGCAATTCGTTCTTGGGCTTCAATGGACCTTACACGTAGCATACTGCCTAGCGTTGCAGGGCCTGAAAAGTGGGGATGAGTCAAAACCTGGAGCCCGACCAGTCCACTATGTAGCGAACGACCTTGCAGGCAGGTCAGCAAGTATCCTGGTTTTGACCCACAGCCATGTTGAAAGTACATGAGAGTGTGGTCCAAGTGCCCAATGCTGCTCGCGGTGTGTGAAGGGTCAACAGAGTCTGGTGCGAATTGGCCCGGTGCCATCGACGCAGTTGCGGAACAACACGACATGATGGACATGGGTACGACAAATACCAACGCACCACAGGCATTTCAACCCCACCGATGAATTTTGTCTGTTCTCGCAGTGTGGACGGTGTGTGTGTGTGTGCGCCACGAAGTCAGGGAGAAGCTGAATCATCACCCCAAGCTGAAAGTTTCGCCAACTTCTCAGGATGACGTGAACAAATAAGTTGGCACATCTGGGCAACTGGAACCTCATGGATCTGATAAGAATACGAACATCTTCCCCGATGTGATCCACAAACGCGTAATTGTTTTCCGGGCCTATTCCACCAATCACAAAACCCACATGGCAAGTTGAACTCGTTCGGGTCCTTAGACATGGCAAAAGAAAGTAAGGCATTTGTTTCTAATAGCTTCTTGTTACTACTAGTAAGGCACCTGTTCCTAGTAGCGTTGCACTTGTTACTAGTGGCAAAAGAAGAGTTGTTCCTTCCAAATGAGCAAAGTTTGGGAGAGCAACACCCGAAAACCTGGACTGTGACTGTAGGCCGCTCATCAAATTATTCGCTATTCGCTTTACGTTTGTTTCCTTGTAGCAAAGAATGGGTTGATTCTCGAAGCTCTGTGACTGGAAGGAAAACAACTGATACAGTAGTAGGCGAATTCTGGGTGACCCTCACTTGCCTTGTGCCTAGTCAAATGCGTGTATATAACTACTTGGACCCCCAAACACTGAACATAGTTTTTCTTGTGAGAATCAGTCATGACCAATTTCTTAATAAGTGAAGACGTGCTTGGCGCATACCCCCTAGGCTAAAAACCTTGGTCACTTTGACACATCTATATAATAAGACTGAGATCATGGGAGAGTTCATTGCCAGCCAAAGGACTTCCTGACCGAGTGGATGAGTTTGAGAGGCTTTTTCAACGACACCTTTGAGCAAAGGATCAAGCTGTACGGGCTGATAGTGACCAGGATACTCACGAGAGTCCCAATCGATACTCCCCATATTAACCGAAGCTCAAGCAGCTGAAGCTGCTCTTTCGGGCCAGAACTGCAGCAAACAACAAGTTACCCAAGCCAGCTGCCCCCGCAAAAAACCGATTCATACCGATTTCAAGTGATTCGACTGCTGCACCTCCTTCTCGTGCCTTAGCAATCCACATGTTGTCAGCTGTCAGAAGGTCCATGTCCACTGCCATGGTGCAAGGAGTGACAGCAGGAAAAAACCGTGGCTCAACAGGTGACCAATTTTGCTCCATGTTGAATCAAGCACAAGACCAAAGGATGTGGAACGTTGAACGGGCGGACAATGGTTATTGCACTATGGCCTAGAACTTAAAAAGTAGCAGGCTAGTCACTAGTCTTGTAGAAATGTTACAGCTCGAGAGTTAGATCCAGAAACGTCGTGCAGAGAGGGAAGGACTGTAAAGGCCACACAGAGTTAGCTGGGAAGCCCAATTCGCACGTCCTTCTTGATGAGGTAGGTCAACTGGCACCTGCCGCCTAAGTGTGAATACTCTGATTGAACATGGTGTGTTGCCGCCCACCGAAGATTTATGCCCTTGTTACGAGTGACAAGAAGCTCCTAGATTGGAGGCCATCGCTATTAGGTTGGAGGCCATTACTACTAGTAACAAGAAGCTACTATAGTGTATGTTTATCACCGAACCCAGGCTGCTTTGGGTCCTCCCTGCATCACACTGTACGATGCACTGGATCACTGGGCTCCAAGGCAATAGTAGCGGTTGAAGTGCATTGCCATGAAGACCTTGAAAAGAAGGAACTGTGGGAGGCACTTGCGCATGCTGGACGAAAAGGTCGCAAATACTCCCAAAACTTGATGCAGTTTGTGTGGGAAACTTTCAACTTTCTCGTCTCCAGATATGGTTTCTTTCAGCTACAAAAACATGATTCAGGGCGCTGCGGCAATCGTCAAAATCCGTCAAAAATACAAGCACATGCACCACCCCCAACAGGCGGACGAAAGGACAAGTGGTCCAGTTCTGCACTGTCATTTCTTCAGCGCGTTTTCTTTCGTACAGCGCATGCCGCAAGGTTTTGCCTGGATGTTGGGAGACACAGTCACAAATAAAACAAACAGGATGCATCCAACTTCACCACAAAGTGATAGCAGTTTTGAACAGGGTTGGCCACTGCTGCGCCGGCAACGACACGCGTGCTTACGGTGGAGACAACAAGGTTCTGCATCCCGTCACAGGTTCCGCGGGTCCGCATAGGTGACTATAACGGCATGACTTCTTGTTACTACTAGCTTTCTTGTTACTACTAGTAAGGCACTTGTTAC